TAAATAGGAACTTAATTACATTTTTTTTTTTTGAGATTTCACAACTTACATTAAACGATTGTTTTTCAATTTGTCGATTAAAATGTGACACTGCAACTTTTGACCACATTTCCTCTAGCTTTGGTCCCGACCAATCATGTCCCAACATTTGTATGGATTCATCAAAAACTTTAATAATGCGCACGGCATGGGCTTTGAAGCGGGCATTGTTCTGTAATAAAAATAAATGAAATGCTCATTTTTAGACTGTGATATTTTTCTAAAGTCTTGATTTCAATCATGTGTATAGTCCAGAATATAGTCTTTACTATAGTCCAGACAATTTGGTAACGAAATCGATGCTCTTGAGCGAAAAATTCCATTTAAATTAATTACTCATATTTCCTTTAAAACCCATATCGCCTATAGTCCAGACTATATTTTTTTCTCTAGTTCAGTCTGTAGTACTGTCTATAGTCCAGACTATATTCTTGTATATATGGCAGTCTAGCTTATAACTCAGACGATATTTGTTTCTATGTTCTAGACTATAGTCTTGTCTACAGTCCATACTACAGACTTTTATACAGTCCAGACTATAAACATGTCTTCAGTCTAGAATAGTCTTGTGTATAATCTAGGCTATAGTCTTTTGTATAGTCCAGACTATAGTCTTTTCTATAGTCTTATCTATAGTCCAAACTATAATCTTGTCTATAGTGAAGATTATAGTCTTGTCTATAGCCCAGACTTAAGTCTTGTCTATAGTCCAGACTATAGTGTTGTCTATAGTCCAGTCTATAGTCTTGACTATAGTGTTGTATAGTCCAGTCTATAGTCTTGTCTATAGTCCAGCCTATAGTCTTGTCTATAGTCCAGACTATAGTGTTGTCTTTTGTCCATATGATAGTCTTGTCTATAGTGCAGACTATATAGCCTTGTCTATAGTCCAGACTATAGTCTTGTCTATAGTCCAGACTATAGTGTTGTCTTTAGTCCAGACGATAGTCTTGTCTATAGTCCAGACTATAGTCTTGTCTATTGTCCGGACTATAGTCTTGTCTATTGTCCGTACTATAGTCTTGTGTATAGTTTAGACTATAGTATATGGTCTTGTAAACAGTCTAGACTATAGTCTTGTGTATAGTCTAGACTATAGTCCAGACTATAGTCTTGTCTATAGTCCAGACTATAGTGTTGTTTATACTCCAGACTATAGTCTTGTCTATAGTCCAGACTATAGTGTTGTTTATACTCCAGACTATAGTCTTTTCTATAGTCCAGATTATAGTGTTGTCTATAGTCCAGACTATAGTGTTGTCTATAGTCCAGACTATAGTAAGGACTATGGTCTTGTCTATAGTCCAGACTATAGTCCAGACTATAGTCTTGTCTATAAACCAGACTATAGTCTTGTCTATAGTCCAGACTATAGTCTTGTCTATAGTCCAGACTATAGTATTGTCTATAGTCCAGACTATAGTATTGTCTATAGTCCAGACTAGTATTGTCTATAGTCCAGACTATAGTATTGTCTATAGTCCAGACTATAGTATTGTCTATAGTCCAGACTATAGTATTGTCTATAGTCCAGACTACAGTATTGTCTATAGTCCAGACTATAGTCTGATCTCTAATTCAGACTTTATTCTTGTCTATAGTCTTGTCTATAGTCCAGACTGTAGTCTTGTCTATAATCCAGAATGTAGTCTTGTCTATAGTCCAGACTGTAGTCTTGTCTATAGTCCAGACTGTAGTCTTGGCTATAGTCCAGACTGTAGTCTTGGCTATAATCTAGACCACAGTCTTGTCTATAGCCCAGACCATAGTCTTGTCTATAGCCCAGACCATAGTCCTGTCTATAGTCCAGACTTTAGTCTTGCCTATAGTTCATACTATAGTATTGTCTGTAGTCCATTCTATAGACTATAGTCTTGTCTATAGTCCAGACTATAGTCTTGTCTATAGTCCAGGCTATAGTTTTGTCTATAGTCTAGACTATAGTCTTGTCTATAGTCTAGACTATAGTCTTGTCTATAGTCCAGACTATAGTCTTGTTATAGTCCAGACTATATTCCAGACTATAGTCTTGTCTATAGTCCAGACAATAGTCTTGTCTTTAGTAAAGTCTAGTTAACAATTTATGTAGCTCTGAAGCTGCATGGGTCCGACTTGATCAATTCTAAAATGACATCCTTAAAATATATAGTAAAAGTATAGCCAACAATTACCCACTTGAACACCCCATTAAATGTCCTTCTGTCAAAGTTTAAACAAACTCTCAGGCCACACCTCTTATCTCAATCTTCTCTGCTTCTTACAACACTTATCTATTTATTGAAATATACTTAAACATTGTCTATATTTAGGGATATTTGACAACACTTCAAAAATATTTAGCATACTTCAAGGCACTTAAATGTCAACAGACTGTTAAATAAATATCAAGATGGTGTAACTAATACTTAACATCTATTAACAAAAATATATGTATGTATGTTTTTTCCAAGCCTAATGAAGGCAATTTTAAACAATTGTTCTCCTTAATATCCCTAATCATCTGAAAATAGTTTGTTTAAGAAAATACTTACTTTTAATTCATCAATTGGCAGATCTTTAAATGAATAAAACTTTTCCAAATTGGGACGGATATTTTGTAAAGAAATTTTAACAATATCGCCACACCGGACTCTGTGGGTGTAGCAGCGGGTATTTCCCAAGTTTTTTTTGATCTCATATACTTCATCGCAATTCATGTTGGTGTGTTAAAAGTCTTTATTAAAGCTCTGTAGAAACCGTCAATTATATATAAAGATAAATTTAGCTGTAATCAGAAAAAAAGAAAAAAGATTATTAAACTCTAAAAGCACAAATTCACTAAATACATATGTTTAATAATGTACACACACGCATACAAAAATCATTAGCATTCTGTAGTTGACATTTCTATTAAAGTCATTCATTCATTTCATCCAAATATCCCTCCCCCTTCAGAATGTTCTAACGAACATTTATAAGTTCAACAATATTTAAAAATTTAACGTTTTTGTGTCAGTTTTAATTTGTTTATTATATTTATTCATTGTAGTATTTAACTTTTTTTACTTGTCATCTGTTTTGCATGATGTCAAGTTGTCGGACAGACAGTTAGATTGACTTTTATTCTTTTTTAGTGGTTGTGCTTTATGATTGTTGTCATTTCAATTTTATGACTGTACAATACACACAACAACAAAAATAATAATATTATTATTTCTCTGTACAAGAAGTCTTCAACAACAAAAACATATTTTCGACAACAACAACAACAAAAAATCATAAGTATTATGTCAAGTGGTTTTGTTTTCATTCTGACACGTGATTAAGTTAATGGGCAGAGCACAATGGGTCATAAAATGCCAATTCCTTATGAAAACTCTATATAGACTATCTTTTTTAAAATTTCTGTTGCACTTTAATAGCTTTTTTATATTATTCCGAAATTTTAATTTTAAATTTAACAAAATAATTAAAAAATTGTTCAAACAAGAAAAGGTTGAATATCGGTCTATTCCTAATATTCGTGAAACAATTCATAACGAATTTTAAAGTATAATTTTTAACAGATTTTTTTTTTATTAAAATTTAGATAAATAATTATATTCTTTCCCATAGTGCAACCACTATTTACATTTAAATCGTATATTATTCACAATAATGCAATCAGAATTTTGAAATAATTAATTCTTAAAAAACAAAATAATTTTTTTTATATTAAATTTTAAAACAATATTGTTATATCAGCATTTTAATGATCTTCGGAAAACACTATATATGGGTGCTAAGTACAGTTAAGGACCCACCTCTACATAACTTTGTAGAAAATTCCAATAACTTATACAAATACACTACACCACACACCAGACTATAGACTAGACTACAGACTAGACAATAAAATAAACTATAGACTAGACTAAATACTAGAGCATAGACTAGACTAAACACTAGACTATAGACTGACTGTAGACTAGACTGTAGACTAGACTATAGACTAGACTATAGACTAGACTATAGACTAGACTATAGCCTAGACTATAGACTAGACTATAGACTAGACTATAGACTAGACTATAGACTAGACTATAGACTAGACTATAGACTAGACTATAGACTAGACTATAGACTAGACTATAGACTAGACTATAGACTAGACTATAACTAGACTATAGACTAGACTATAGACTAGACTATAGACTAGACTATAGACTAGACATAGACTAGACTATAGACTAGACTATAGACTAGACTATAGACTAGACTATAGACTAGACTATAGACTAGACTATAGACTAGACTATAGACTAGACTATAGACTAGACTATAGACTAGACTATAGACTAGACTATAGACTAGACTATAGACTAGACTATAGACTAGACTATATAGACTATAGACTAGACTATAGACTAGACTATAGACTAGACTATAGACTAGACTATAGACTAGACTATAGACTAGACTATAGACTAGACTATAGACTAGACTATAGACTAGACTATAGACTAGACTATAGACTAGACTATAGACTAGACTATAGACTAGACTATAGACTAGACTATAGACTAGACTATAGACTAGACTATAGACTAGACTATAGACTAGACTATAGACTAGACTATAGACTAGACTATAGACTAGACTATAGACTAGATATAGACTAGACTATAGACTAGACTATAGACTAGACTATAGACTAGACTATAGACTAGACTATAGACTAGACTATAGACTAGACTATAGACTAGACTATAGACTAGACTATAGACTAGACTATAGACTAGACTATAGACTAGACTATAGACTAGACTATAGACTAGACTATAGACTGACTATAGACTAGACTATAGACTAGACTATAGACTAGACTATATAGACTAGACTAGACTAGACTATAGACTAGACTATAACTAGACTATAGACTAGACTATAGACTAGACTATAGACCTGACTATAGACTAGACTATAGACTAGACTATAGACTAGACATAGACTAGACTATAGACTAGACTATAGACTAGACTATAGACTAGACTATAGACTAGACTATAGACTAGACTATAGACTAGACTATAGACTAGACTATAGACTAGACTATAGACTAGATAGACTAGACTATAGACTAGACTATAGACTAGACTATAGACTAGACTATAGACTAGACTATAGACTAGACTATAGACTAGACTATAGACTAGACTATAGACTAGACTATAGACTAGACTATAGACTAGACTATAGACTAGACTATAGACTAGACTATAGACTAGACTATAGACTAGACTATAGACTAGACTATAGACTAGACTATAGACTAGACTATAGACTAGACTATAGACTAGACTATAGACTAGACTATAGACTAGACTATAGACTAGACTAGACTAGACTAGACTAGACTATAGACTAGACTATAGACTAGACTATAGACTAGACTATAGACTAGACTATAGACTAGACTATAGACTAGACTATAGACTAGACTATAGACTAGACTATAGACTAGACTATAGACTAGACTATAGACTAGACTATAGACTAGACTATAGACTAGACTATAGACTAGACTATAGACTAGACTATAGACTAGACTATAGACTAGACTATAGACTAGACTATAGACTAGACTAGACTATAGACTAGACTATAGACTAGACTATAGACAGACTATAGACTAGACTATAGACTAGACTATAGACTAGACTATAGACTAGACTATAGACTAGACTATAGACTAGATATAGACTAGATTATAGACTAGACTATAGACTAGACTATAGACTAGACTAGACTAGACTATAGACAGACTAGACTAGACTATAGACCATATAGAGTCGGTCTAGTCAACAGACTTGAACCTGACTGAATACCTTTAATTCTATTAAAAATTAAAACCGTCAAGTCCTAAAACATGTTATATTCATAAAGCGTGGTAGATGTAATGGGTTTCTCGAAAGAATATACTCCTTACAATTACTGTTTTATAAAATATAGTACAATCTCTTTACATTTTGTTTGGGTTCATTTATATTGAGTATTTTATTCGTGAGTTTTTCTCTTTATCTGTTAGTATATACGGAATAATTCATAAATATATTATTTTTTTATTTAGTTATTGTGAGTGCAATCTACTTAATAGAAAGTATATGTACCAGGGTTGGACAGCTTAATGCTCTACAAGATTGCATTAACCTAGCCATAGGTATTGAAACAAATATGCTAAAATGATTTTAGTAGATCAAAATATTTTGTTAACAATAAGTACAAATCTGCACGAAATTGCATGTGTTAATTATTAGTACTTTAATACATATGTACCAATTTCCCACCTCTGCATATGTCTGCTCCGATAATATTGAAATTTACTCATAATATGGTTTTGTAAATGCAAGAGTATTTCCGAATGACAGAAGAGGAAATGGAAACAGCATGTGATGAATAAACAATCAAATAATAGTACTTATGAGAATGTAAGTAAAAAAACATAAAAGTAATAAAAGTATTAAATATTTGTCAAACAATTTAAGCAATAAATTATATGGTGGAAAAGAGCAATGCTCTTTAATAACGAAATATAGAGAAATTTAAGAAAATACATTTGCTGTAATGAGAAAATGAGAAAATGAGGCTAGTAGACTAGTACCTTTACAAGTCAAGAGTATAATAAATATAATAGACATGATTCTATTCAACAGACTAGTCAATAGACTAATCTAAGGAAGAGTCAACATACTAGTCAAAAGACAAATCAATAGAGTAATCAGTGGATTATGCAATAGATTAGTTAATAGAGCAGTTAAGAATCTATTCATTCGGCTAGTTAATAGACCAGTCAATATACTGGTTAATGTACTAGATAAGAGAATAGTCTAGTAGACTAGTTAGTAGGCTACTCAATAGTAGTCAATAGTCAATAAACTAGTCCATGCTCAATAGACTAGTTAGTAGACTGGTCAATATTCTAGTCAATAGACTAATCAGTAGGCTAGTCAATGGAATAGTCAATATACTCACCAGACTAGTTAATGTACTAGTCAATAGAATAGGCAGTAGGCTTGTCAATAGAATAATCAGTAGGCTAGTCAATAGATGAGTCAATAGACTGGTACATATGCTAGTCAAAAAACTAGTCCACTAGGACTAATCAAGACTAGTTAATAGAATAGTCAGTAGACTAGTTAATAAAATAGTGAATGGAATAGTCAATAGTTGACTAGTCATTATACTAGTCAATGTACTTGTCAATAGACTAGTCAAAAGATTAATCAATTGACTAGTCCATAGGCCAATCAGTGAACCAGTCCATATACTAATCAATAGACTGGTCAATTATATAGTCATTAGATTATTCAATAAACTACTGACTAATCAATATACTAGTCGGTAAGCTAGTCTATACATCAGTCAATAGACTACTCAATGCTCAAGTCAATAAACTGGTCCATTGACTATCAATAGACTGGTCAAAAGACTAAGCAATAGGCTAGCCAATATACTAGTCTGTAGGCTTGTCAATAGACTAGTCAATAAACAGGTTGACAAACTAAACAATAGCCTGGTCAATAGACTGGCCAGTAGACTAGTCAATAAACTAGTTAGTAGACTAGTCAATACACTAGTCAATATACTAATCAATAGACCAGTCAGTAGGCTAGACAATAGCCTAGTCAATATTCTAGTCAATAGACTAATCCATAGACTAATCAATAGTCAATGGACTAATCAATACAGAAAAGTAAACAGACTAATCAATGGAATATTCAATAGATTAGTCAGTAGACTAGACCA